TGGTGAGCGGGAAGACGCTGGAGAATAGTGTTGATGGGGGGGAGGCCACGAGCGAGGGGAATTGGAGGAAGTAGGAAGTGAGGAGGGCTAGTGGGTGGAGGTGGGTGAGGAGGATAGGGCTGAGGCCAGCGATGTTGGTTGTTCGGTGGGGCATGGTGCTGGTGCTGACGCTGGTGCCGGCAGGTTGTGGGAGTGGAATCGAGTTGCGGTTGGGAGCTGGAGATCACGTGTAAGAACCACTACCTGTGTCCAGCCACATCTGTGTCTCTTACCCTGAACATCACCAACGGAGCTTAAAGCGGCATTTCGTATTCTGCAATATCAAGGGGGCCACCCCTGATATCTGACTTGGTTACACCCGGTTACTTTTACACAGAGTCCACAAATCCACAGTCTCGCTGGTGAGAATATCTATCCATTACCCATCTTCTCTCCTGGGACTCTCTCATAATGCACCAAACTCGTCAGTCAAGTCCACTCCACCGTCGTTTCCTCGCAAATATCTCCTCTTACCGTGCAACCTGCAAGAACGTCCCACTAAAAGCGCGAATATGGAGCACCCTCACCCTGTGCAACATCACCATCCTCTCCTGGATATACATCCTCTACTGGGGCGAGCACAAGGTCTTCCGCGATGCCATGCACGAGTGTCAATGGGATAGATGGGAACAGTGGGTCCGTTGGCCTTAGCCTCTAGCCGACCAGTATTCGTGAAACTGAATTGGAGATGTAGCCGGAAGATGCCCAGCCATATCGCATGGCCCTGATAGCCGACCCGCAAATCGTCGACCCACATACATACCCCCGGCGAGGTATCGTCCTCAAGGCGACAATATTCTACACAGACCTATTCATGTCGAAATCATACTCCCTCCTCAACAAAATCCTCCTTCCAGAAAGTACGGTATTCTTAGGGGACCTTTTTGATGGTGGACGGGAATGGAGTACAAGTACGGCAACCTGGGGCAGCCATGTAACCGACCCCAGTACACCAGGAAGAGAAGATTGGACGAAATACAACCGTGCCTACTGGGAAGAAGAATTCGTCAGGTTCAATAAGATATTCCCCATGCTGCCTGGGAGAAGGAGTATCCGCTCACTCCCTGGAAACCATGACCTGGGATTCGGTAACGGTGTGAACGAGGGCGTCGTGAGTAGGTTCAAGTCCTTCTTCGGGGAGACGAACTCGGTACATACGTTAGGAAACCATACATTTGTATTGATTGACTCTGTGAGTTTGGAGAACACCGAGAACCCCAAGATCTATGAACCAGCAAGGAGGTTTTTGGATGAGTTTTCTGCCTCTATACCGTCACCGAGGAAGCTCTTACAACAAAATCCGGAGGTTCGCTCATCGAAGTTATACGATGCAGGCAATGGGGCCCCACCAGCAAATACAGTCCCACCAATTTCCCCCCTACCTAAAATTTTACTGACCCATGTCCCTCTTTATCGCCCCCAAAATACGCCTTGTGGTCCCCTCCGGGAGGGACATTCACTTGATGGAACCATCCCTCTTCGTGGTGGGTTTTAGTACCAAAATGTCCTGCAACACGAGACGTCAACAGATATCCTCAAGAAAATACAGCCCATTCTTGTCGCTTCTGGTGATGATCATGATTACTGTGAGGTTCTTCACGCCGGGGCCACAGGTATGGTGAAGGAGATTACCGTCAAGAGCTTCAGCATGGCAATGTCCGTTCGCCGGCCAGGGTTCTTGATGCTGAGTTTGTGGAACCCTGTCAAGGAAGCCGTGGTAGAGGGGGGAAATGATGCTTCTACAGTTCAGTCGAGGTTGTGCCTTTTACCAGATCAGGTGGGAATCTGGCAAACATATCTTATGCTATTTGGGATCACAAAGTTTGTGGTTACATTGAGCATAGTGTGGGCGTGGCTCAGGCGGAGGAAGAGCAAGGGGGATGAACCGCTACTTCCGCTTTCGCAAGATGAAGCGGCGAGGTCTAAGCGAGGATATGTCAATGGGTCAGTGGAGTATGCGGTCTCATCTGGATCGTCGAATGGTATTGCTATTAGCACACGTTCATCTGCATCTAATCATGGCAGCTCTGGGTCTTCGCGGTCACATTATGGGGGATATGGTATCCCGTCAACTACATCGTCTCCTGCTCCACCATATAATGAGGACGATGAAAGTAAATATGCTAAAAGATCTATGCCGAAATTGGTTATTGCGGGGATGCCATTGGGGTTGCAGCAGAAGATTGATAAGGGATTGATTGAGTTTGGGAATGTGGCGGGGAATGTGGGGGTTAAGGTTGCTGATAAGGTGGTTGAGCGAGTGCCGAGTTTGGCGCCCACGGTGGAGAAGGGTAAGGAGATGGTTAGGAGGGAGATGGAGAAGGGTGGGGTGAAGGGGTTTGTGGGGAGAGTATTGGCGGGGGTAAAGGGGGGGGGGGTGGCAGCGGTGGTGTTGGGGTGTTGGTATTTGTGGTTGTTGTGGACGGAGGCCTAGGCCTAGGGGAGAGTTTGCTATATATAATCTGAATGTTTTTGACAGGTACTGCCGTTAGCGATTCTGACATCTTATTTTGTTGTTTTGATATCTCTGCTTTGGCTTAATGGAGCTGGGGGTTAATGCGTTGACAATAATACCTTATTTTTCCTTTTTTCTGCGTTTGTATTGGGGAGAAAGGGGGGGAGTTAACTTACCTTAGTCCATAGGGAGAGGAAAATACTTACTTAGTAGTAGTAGTAGTAGTAGTAGTAGTAGTAGTAGTAGTAATAGTAGTAGTAGTAATGGACTTGGAAACTATTTTACGGTAATTGATCGGTGCCCATTTCAGATCAATTTCAACGAAAGGGTTTGTCGTGTTCATCACGATGAGCAACATCCGCGACTTTGCCTACAACATATAGAGCTGCTGGATGTGTGTTGGGAGTGCTTTAGATTCCGAAGTTCATTATTTTTTTTTTTTTTCGTTTTATATACAGCTCATCCGGGAAATACTCCAAATATGCAAATTTGAAGAAGAACTTATGGGGTGGTTTTGACCTAGCTGTCTCTGACGACTTTGTTATGCGATGATATCAGGGTAATTCTATCTCGTAGAGCACCTTCACGTGAGAACTCGTAACACACAATATAGCGCTAGTTTAACTGCATAGCCGTTAGATTTCAAGATATTTTTTCTTTGAGCCATAAGCATCAACATATTCATATACAATCTCTTCAGCTCTCCATATAAGAATGCTATAACTATATCCACTTCCAGATATTCCAAAGCAACCATTGTCAGCTGAACCCCTCAGGGATACAAACTTTGCAACAGGTGCGAATGTTTCTTTTCGGAAAACACATGTCGCTCAGCCACAATACCGATCTAAAGTTCCATCAATCTTTCTCTATATATCAAATATCTATTTACATGGCATCTCTTTCTTCCCTTTTGGTAGTATGTACCATCCACTTATACTTTTCAGGACTCGTGTTCGAATCTTACTCCATTGTTCTGCTTTCCTACTCTTCATAGCCTGATCGTATGTTATCTTCGGTATCCTAATGTGTTACAGTTCGTGGGCAAAAGTCTTGGTGAAACATCACTTGGCGCGGGGAAAAAATGTAAATTTGGGGACCCGGCAACCAACATTAAGCAGCATATCATATGTACTGCAACAACGATGCGCGACGTGAGATGACCATAGTAGAAAGAGGTATCCTCTTCAATATATAATAGCAGCAATTTCGAAGATCTCTGGTAGTCTCGATCAGACTTTCTCGTAGAGGATCTCTGGACGTCCTTAGTCAACCATCAAGAATTTCCTGAATCGGACAGCTGTGCGGGGGTATATTGAAAATGCTCCTAGGTCCGGCAGACCCGAGAAGCTCAGCAAAATGGGACCGGAGGGCTATGCTTCGATGTGTAAAGAAGAATAAAACATGGACTAGGGAGCAAATTCGGCAGGACTGTTGCCCCCATGTTTCGCTAGATACACTAGACCTTACCTCCGAGTGAATGGCCTACAAAATGGCTAGCTAAGAAACGCCCTAAAGTACCTGCTAATCTGGTTGGCACAACACCACTCCTATGATGAAAACTCCCTTGCATTGTGCGTCCATCAATCTACATGAGATTTTGTTTACCTGTAATAAATATAAAAAAAGATAAAAAGAAACAAGGAAACTCATATATACAGGTACGAGGTTGTGTGGCTCAATCGGTAGAGTATCATGCTAAAAACGTGAAGGTTGTGAGTTCGAGTCTCACCATGACCACAATTTCTTTTGTTTTGCTGATTCAAGAGACGCAAGTTTTTACCTGCATGTCCGTACTCCTTGTCACATCGACACTCCTATTCATTCCATGATGAAAACTCCCTTGTATTTGTGCATCGTGCCAATCAGACTATTGTGTGTCCATCAATCTACATGAGATTTTGTTAAATATAAAAAAGATAAAAAACAACAAGAAAACTTATGTGTACAGGTACGAGGTTGTGTGGCTTAATCGGTAGAGCATCATGCTAAAAACATGAAGGTGTGAGTTCGAGTCTCACCATGACCACAATTTCTTTTGTTTTGCTGATTCAAGAGGCGCAAGTTTTTACCTGCATGTCCGTACTCCTTGTCACATCGACACTCCTATTCATTCCATAATGAAAACTTCCTTTTATTGTGCGTCCATCAATCTACATGAGATTTTATCCACCTGTGATAAATATAAAAAAAGATAAAAAAAAACAAGAAAACTCATATGTACAAGTGTGAGGTCGTGTGGCTCAATCGGTAGAGCATCATGCTAAAAACGTGAAGGTTGTGAGTTCGAGTCTCACCATGACCACAATATATTTTGTTTTGCTGATTCAAGAGACGCAAGTTTTTACCTGCATGTCTGTACTCCTTGTCACATCGACACTCCTATTCATTCCATGATGAAAACTCCCTTGTATTGTGCGTCCATCAATTTACATGACATTTTGTGCACTTGTGATAAATATAAAAAAAAGATAAAAAGAAACAAGAAAATTCATATGTACAGACAGGTACGAGGTCGTGTGGTAGAGCATCATGCTAAAAACGTGAAGGTTGTGAGTTCGAGTCTTACCGTGACCAACTTCTTTTGTTTTGTTGATTCAAGAGACGCAAGTTTTTACTCCCTTGTATTGTGCGATTTTGTCCACCTGTAATAAATATAAAAAAATACTAAAAGAAACAAGAAAACCCATAAGTATAGGTACTAGGTCATGTGGCTCAATCGGTAGAGCATCATGCTAAAAACGTGAAGGTTGTGAGTTCGAGTCTCACCGTGACCACACTTTCTTTTGTTTTGTTGATTCAAGAGACGCAAGTTTTAACAGATGCAAGAGCTATGGCAAGGCTTGCCTAGGCACTAGAGAGAAAGAGAGTACGATCTGGAGTGATGAATGCTCAATTGAGATGAGAAGTCGACTCAAGCACGGCAAATTTGGGTATTTCGAACAACAGAAGAAAAGTGGGATAAAGACTGTATTATGCAGTTATAAAAGGGACAAGGAACATCTCTGATGGTCTGGGGCTGTTTCTGGGGGAAGACTCGTGGGACATTTGTACCCCTGGTTATTCGTTCTGTAAACTCACTTATCTTTAGCCGCCTCCTCAAGATGCTCCTCCTCCCAGTCATTGACCACATAAACCGCACCATTGGCAATGCCAAATTCCAGCAAGACAATGAAATGCTCCAGTACATACTGCAAAGATTATCACTCTTTCCCTCAAGCGACATAGCATTATTGTTGAGAAACACCCCCTAAAGTCCAGACCTCAACCCTATAGAGCACCTGAAAAGGTACCTGCATAAAAAGTACCCTGACATCTTCAATACTCCTGGAGGGCAGGGCCAGATGCAGTACGTGCTAGGCTTGCTGAGTCTGTATTTGAGTCGTTGTGGAGGAGCATGCCTGACCGTGTGGCAGCTGTGATTGCGGTACACTCGCTACTAGCTACATCTCTAACTTTCACCTCATTTGCAATTTTCCTTGGAATTTACTTCTTTACTACTCATATACTCAGCGACATCTGGTTGTTGTGTTATTCGGCAAGGCTTGCCAAGCGGCTCAAAATACAGTTTCACCAAGACTTTTGCCCACGGATTGTATACTAGGTTTTCCTGGATTCCCAAATGCGACTGCTAAATTATCTTCCCTTCAATTTTTCAATCACCGGGTAATTATCTCCCAGTTCCTCAGCTTCTTCTACCTACTCTTCTTTCTATATTACTATCAGGACCGGATATTTTATTTTCTCTTGCCAGACTTGGATGTTCCATCGTGGATTCATGGAAGATCATATCTCTTCTTTTTATTAGCTCTTTTGCCTCTATATACTATAGTTGATATAGGTTCTCTGTATCGTAGAACCCAACCAGGATATGTACATTCTCGCGTTTTTGAATCCCACTACTTTCTCCTTTCATTTGGTACTGCCGACCAAGCCCTACAACCCCCATACTCGGATGTGGCCGAAGTGAGGTTTCGTTTTATACCACATCTCATGAGGCGTGTTATCTTCCAATCCACTGTGGGGTGACCTATTTAGTAGATATACAGATGCTTTTGCGGCTAATGCCCAAAATTCCTCCCTAATTCTGGCTGCCTATAACATTTCCGAGGCATGATTCATTGCTTGCAGACCTCGAGGTCCATTGGGAGGCTAGATTTATAGGCTGATTTGCTCGCTGACATATAAGTTGATTTACACGCTGACCTCGAGGTCCATTTTTAGGGCTTTATTTCTAGGCTGATTTGCTCGCGAATTTACTATTGTTTTTATTACCCATTCTGCGTATGAATTTATATTGGGCCATATGGAGCAGTTGTATAATGTGTGATACCTTCTTCCAGGCACCTCTTGATAAATTTTTTTCCCATAAATTCTGCCTCGTTGTCTGTTTGAAGTATCATCAATTTAGAGCCACATGTATTTTCTGCATTTGCCTTCCATATTTGCATTGCTCTGAGGGCCATATCTCTTGTCATTAAAGGAAATACCCATGAATATCTTGTATAGTGATCAACAAATACTTGATGGTACTTGTAGTTCCAAGCTTCCCACAATCAGCTTTCTCGGCGTAGTATTTACTACATATATTGTAGGAGCCCTAATCAAGTTATTCTCATGCAATAACGTTCTTGAGGCTGCTTCTCGGATTTTCTGATCTCTACAGCTCTCAATTCCTTGGCCAACCTCGATTATAATCCCCCCCCCCTTCTTCAGCCATAACACCTATACTTCAAATACACTTGATTGAGAGCCTAACGTATCCTTAAAAAGCTCCACAATTGTAGTTTGCTGATACTCATGAGATATTTCTATTTCGACCATTCCTCTCTCCATCGAAATCTCCCCCGAGCCCTATCCTATGAGTGGTTAGGGAGGATTTTGAGCATAGTGAAGCATGATAGAGCTACCTTAAAGTATAGTGGTGAGGCCCCTGCATTCTTTCTCGTGGGCTTTAGTTAGTATCTATCGTCTTCTCTCTGATTCTTCTTCCAATTGTTCATTTAACCCGAGTCGTTTTGGGCACTTTGGAATCAGATAAGGCTGAGAGCATATGACGTTGGCGAAGATTTTACAAGTACTGTAAACATCTGGAAAATTACCTTCGAAAGAAGTTGCCAAGTACTTATGTACCTGGATGAACTCAAAAAAAAATGAATTGCTAGATTATTAACTCAAGATCTACAAGCTAAAGTATAATGTATATACATCACAGCATGCAAAATAACACACGGACACATCTAGCTCTTCATATGTATACAGCAAGGGGATTATGCAATCAGACAGAGAAGCAGCCGGGAGAATAGCCAAGAGAACAGCCAGAAAACAACTGGGAAAACAGCCAGGCAGTTGAGCAGCAAGACAGCCTGAGAAAAACACAAGGCAGCCAATCCATAGCCGCAATTCAGATACTTATTATGCACCCCACCCATTATACTGATTCAACCCCACCCCCCCTCCCTTACTCATGCCCCCTATAATTACTCCTCCTCAGCCCACTCTGCCTTCTTCTCCAACACCTTGTCCACCGCCTTTCCCCATTCCCCCCCTCCCGTGTTCCCCATCCAGATAGCATTGCCCTTCTGGCCAAACCACTTCTCTTTCCTCCCCCAACTCCTCCCACTGCCTTGCATCATTGCCATTCTACTAGCCCTGGTACTCCTCGCCCCGCCCTTTCCGCCTTGAGATAACAACCCGCTATTAGACTTTGCTTCCTCTTCCCTCTTTGTTTCGTGTCTGACAATAGATCGCACATATGGGGCGACGTCGAGAACAAGGGTATCAAGCGGGCCGTGGATTGTAGTTGCGATGATAATTGTCCCCGGGTTGAAAGAGGGGGATGGATTGGAGGCAAGGAATGGAGGCGGTGGTGCTGTGAGGTAGGAAAATGCGCCGCGGATATAATTGCGGGGAATTGTGGTGGCGGTTCGTTGGGGGTTAAGGCGAGAGGAGATAATTTCTGTTACATTTTGTGCTGTTAATGGATTGAAGGCTGGATTTGGCTTGGGAAATGAGTAATTAGGGGGTCGTTTCATGAAGGTATTCGTTTCCTTTAAAAGGTATGATCGAGCTAGAGAGCGAACTGTGGTGGCTATAGAGATGAGTGTGTCCCTAGAGGTTTGGCTTGCGGGCCATAGATCCGCTTGTAAGACTGGGTAACCGAGTATATCGTCCACACGAGACGAAGCTGGGAGTCTCGGCTGAGTCCAATCCAAGATAGGATCCTCCAACCCCCTCATTGCGCTTCCGGCATAAATATCGACATCACTCATTGCCTCCGTATACGTCTCAAGGATCTTCGTATTGTACCCCTCCAAGCCGTTAACTCCCACCTCCAAGTCTTCCATTTCCCTGATCTGTCCACATGCATCTACGATAACGTCCACTCCCCACTCATTCCATGCCTCTTTCCAAATATCGTCTTCCTTCAATTTTCTCCCACGGCAGTCTGGCGCTGATACCCCATCGTCAGCTTCCTCCCTAGGAATCCATCCCATCCCACTAAGAAATGAATTCTCGGAGATCACTCTCTTGGGCCCACTAATATCATGTCCAACAGGGAATCTCGTGAGGATCCAATCCAATCCTGCCCTTCTATCACCAATACCCATCTGGCACCAAAAATTAAGTTCAGTGATTATAGCCCTGAGATCTCCCTTGTGGACATTATAAAGGCGCGACACATCTATCCGCTCTAATATATGCCCCTCATTAGCCGCCAGCAAGAGAAGATAGTCCGTCATTAAAGTCCTCGGTGGAGGGGGCATCCTTAATATAGCATGTAACGATAAATCCTCGATTGGCAGCAACTTTTCGTCATTACACGTCATGACAATTGGTCTCTTGGACTGTGCCATCAAGGACATCACCGTCGGCCAAAACTGCTTATCTTCTTCAAACAGTAGGTCGGCTTCCTCCAGTAAAATCAGCGATTGAGTCTGCTGTGCCTTTTCAATGACCTCCTCAATCTGCTTAGCTTTACCCTTACCATTCCCTTGTTTAAAGAAGGAGGCTCCATCAACTGCATTGGCTTTCTGCTGATGAACAAGGTGATTCCGACTCATCTCCCCCACCTGGTCGAGTAAATCCTTCCCGCTCCGCCTACTACCTGGGTTGACCTCAAAAACGGTGAAGCCCATCTCCTTAGCAACAGCATACACCGTAGCTGTTTTTCCGCACCCATGCGGACCACTAATGACCACCGCATTGACCATTCGTCCACTCTCACCACCTCCATTCGTTGCCTTACCTCCAGAGACGTATCCCAGCTTGGCGGCTATCGAGGCATTCTTATCGCCAGTCCTAATTGCGGACTTCTTAGTTAGGGCGCCAAATATAGGTGGAGGCACCGCTTCATCATTATCTTCTGGATCGCTAATTTCGTCCATTTCGTCCAGCTCTTCTTCACTTTCTATAAGAAAATCGTCGAGCCCGCCTCCCTTGACCCGCTTTTTCTTCTTTCGCTTCCTACATTTACCGATAGCGGAGGCTGTACCATCCTTTCCTTTGGCTTTACGTTTCTTCTTTTTGACCCCCGGTACTTCGTACCCCGTATCAACCATAAGTTTAGCAAGCCA